CGTGGATATCCTAACTGGGCCTTCCTGAAAGCAGAGAAGAAACCCAAACAGGACTCCAGTCAGCCAACAGGTGAAAAGGAGGAACCCAGACCCAGACCAGTGGTCATTCCGTATGTTGAGGGAGTATCAGAGAAACTGAGACGTTTATTTTCTAAACATAACGTCCCAGTGGCTTTTAAACCCCAAAATACATTACGGCAAAGACTGGTTCATCCCAAAGATCCAGTCCCCCGTCACAAACAGAGTAATGTTGTGTATGCTGTTCAGTGTCAGGAGGGTGATCAGTCTTACATCGGGGAAACTAAACAGCCACTGGCCAAAAGGATGAACCAGCACAGAAGATCAACATCATCAGGCCAGGACTCTGTGGTCTACACTCATCTCCAGGTCAGAGGTCACTCTTTCAGGGATGAAGATGTTCACATCCTGGACAGAGAGGAACGATGGTTTGAGAGAGGAGTAAAGGAGGCCATCTTTGTGAAAAGAAACCGTCCATCATTAAACAGGGGTGGAGGCCTCCGGGTTCAACTGTCCCCCTCTTACAATGCTGTGATTGCTAGTATCACTCAGCCCTCTGTGAACAGTAAACAGCCATCAGGTGCTAATGATCCATTGTTAGGCTGATGGTCCTTCTTGAGCATGTGATCAGCTGGTTTTGGTTGTCAGCAGCAAACTGGTTGATCCACCCTGAGAAGGTGCTATTTAAGAGACTGAGCTGAAAACAGCACCTCAGACTGAGGAAGTCTCTCGGATGAGAGACGAAACGTTTCTACATTTTTTTTGTAGTTTTGCTTTGTTTGTTTTTTTTATTTTTTTTTTAATGTCCAGAGGACCAGATTTAACTTTTTTAGATTTTTCTACCTGGATTATTGAGCATGCATCAGGAACAGATAAAAAGATTACACACAAAAGTTCCTAAATGTTAAAAACAATATATAAAGAAATAAGATAAACAATATCAATAATAATGTTCAATATGTATTGGAACATTGATAAGGACAGAGTATTGACAGCACAGTGTTACAGGCAGAGTGTGTTTTAGCAGAGGTCAGCATGTATTTAATCCTTGTAGAGTTTGTTGGAGCAGTGATGGTTGTAGAGTCTAACAGCTGCTGGAGGAAGGACCTGCGGTGACGCTCCTTTGTGCATTTAGGAGCAGGAACCTGTCACTGAACGAGCTCTCCAGTTCAGCAGCAGCTTCATGGGGTGGAGACGTTGTCCAGCAATGATGTTATTTTAGCTGGAGTCCTTCTGTCTCCCACCACCTGCACTGGGTCAAGGGGCGTCCAAGCACCGAGCTGGTCTTCTTGATGAGCTTATCTAGCTGCTTCTTCTCAGCTGATGATAAGCTGCTGCTCCAACACCATAGAAGAAGTTTTTTTTAAATAAAATTTTAAATCATAACTATATTAATTATAAGAAGTGCAACTTGAAATGAACTAATCCAGATTAAAATTGTGAATTTTAAAAATTATTTTGGAGAAAAAAAAAGGGGGCGAAAAAGAAATGTATTTTTAGAGAAAAATCTTAAAACACGTCCTACGTGTGGCCAGCAGAGGACGCTGCAGCTTCGGGCAGTTCCGGTCACATGACTGTCAGGCGGAAAAAAAACGGCTTAAACAGGAAGTGAGTTTCTTCTCGTCTCTTAAATGTTTTCATTTTATCGCTCCAAAGTTATGAGACACAATAATAATTATCCGTCACGTGTTTGGATTTTAAAAACAAGTCAATTTAAATTGGACACTTTTTTGTTTTCTGACTCGGAACAGAATCTTCCTGTTTATTTTCAGCGTTAACGGAGGTTCGTATAGTTTCATTTTGAGCTGCTTTCTTCAGTCTGCAGGATAAATAAGTTTCAATTTACAGCTTTTAACCGTGTTTGTCTTAAGGAAACAAAATGACTCAAAAATACTAATGCAACAATATCAACTATTTGTCCCCATTTATTTATTAGAATCTCTAAGAAATTAAAATAAAGTCTGACAGTTTGACAGACTTAAAAAACAAAATTGCGTTTTAAGAAGAAAAGTTTTAGGTATAATTAAAACTTACAGCATGTTTGTTGAAAACCAGGTTTTGCTCAACATCACAGTGAAGTACGGAGGTGGAAGCGTCATAATATGTTACTGTTATAAGAATCGTTAGGTTTTAATCAGCAGAGAAACATGTCAATAAACTTGGTTTCTCTGGAGGTTCTTTTTAATGATTGACCTGTTCAGTTATTTTCAGACAAAAAATACTTTCAACGTTTGTAGATTGAAGTTTGTAAATCAAAGCCTGGAATGACAACCAGGTCAGAACCTTGTGTTTGGAGTGTGAGACAACTCTTGTTCCACAGCTTGTGGGGTCAAAGGTCATCATGGGCTCCGCAGTGGAACGGACGGATGAACACGTGAGGGAGTACCTGATCTATCGAGGATTCACGAACACGCTGAAACATCTGGACCACGAGATCAAGGCCGACAAGGAGAAAGGCTTCAGGGTGAGCTGGACAAGAAGGTGGACGCTTGTCCTCCTGATGGTGACAAGATTAATCAAGTGTGTCTCCGGCGTCCACAGGTGGACAAGATCATCGATCAGCTGCAGCAGTTTGTCCAGAGCTTCGACCTTTTGGGGCTGATGGAGTACTGGCTCTACCTGGATCGCCGGCTGTTCTGCAGACTGGAGGATGTCTACAAGTCCACCGTCAACAAGCTGAGGACCAGCCTGTACCGATACTACGTCATCAACACCATCCAGGTAGTTGATGACAAACATTTTTGACAGTTATTCAGACTGAATTTAATGTTTGATCAAATTTCTTCTAATTTAAATAAATAAATAAATATGTTTTTGAAGCTCTGCTCTGTGATCGTTGCAGAAAGGCAACCCTGAGAAGACTCAGGAGTTCTTCCAGAAGCAGGCATCGGAGCTGCAGACTCAGGCCGAGTGGCGTGACTGGTTCATCCTGCCGTTTGTCCCCGCCCCCGAGCAAAACCCCGCCTTCGCGCAGTACTTCTCCCGCCAGTGGGCTGACACTTTCCTGGTCTCGCTGCACAACTTCCTGTCTGTCCTCTTCCAGTGTATGCATATCCTTCAGATCCACAGAGTCCACCCACTGGGTTCTGCTGCAGCAGAACCCAAACAGAAGCTGGTTGTACAGGTTCTGGTGTCTGCTGTTGGTTCTGACTTTATGGAACAGAATCTGTTTGATCTATGTTCTGAATCTCCTGGTTTCTGGTCTTTAACGGGTCTCCACCTCAGCCGGTTCTGCTGAGCTTCGACGCTGAGGTCCAGAAGATGACGAGCCTAACCGAAGAGAACGAGCAGTTCCGTCATATGGTGAGAAGGAAACTTTTTACTCACACTCATAAATCCAGCTTCTGAGGATCCACAAACACCTGACATGGTTCATGACATCAGAACCAAAGCAAAGCTGGGTCCGTTTCTTGATCCAGCAGCTTATAAAACTTCTCAGTGGTTTCCTCTTTGACATTCATGGTTCTGGAGGAGTTCTGACCCACTCTTCTTTCATCATTGAGGGTTCTGCTCAGCTCTCTGAAGGTCCACCACAGTGTTTCAGTCAGGTTCAAGTTCTGGACTCTATTTGGACCATTGCAGCACCGTGGTCCTGTTCTTTCTGACCTGTTCTGTTGTAGATCAGCTGCTGTGTTTGGATCATGGTTCTGTTGGACACAGTTTGGTCTAAACTTCAGTTGTTGGACTCCAGAACCCTTTGGTGTACAGAGGAGTTCTTGGTCCACTCAGTGACTGACAGGAGCCCAAACCATCAGCCCTCCACCACTGTGCTGACAGCTGGAGGAGCTGTTTGCTGCAGTGCATTCTGGGTAAACATCTGTCCTCTGGTCTGGTTCTGGTCCAGAAGTCTTATGGTTCCTTCAAATGAAACATTCCAAACCTGAGTTGAGGAGGTCATGACCTTTGACCTGCTGGCTGAGGCCTGTTGAGTCACTGCACGGTCTGACCTTCAGGGTGAATCTGTTGGGAAGACAACTGAATTGTGGCTCCTGATATATTGGTGTGACCTTTGACCCTTCCCATATTGACGGGCACCAACAGCTGCTTCTCTGAGGTCATTGCTGATGTTGTTCTGTCTTGGCGTTGTGCTAGCACATACCTGGACCTCTGGAGTTCTCCAGAAGTTTTTCTTTCTTTTTTTGAAATGTGTCTTTCTTCTTGTTTTGAAGATATTTTGTTGTTTTTACTAAAGTTTACGCTTTCATTGAACACTTTGTTGAATGAAAGCTGATTCAGTCTGACTTACATAAAACTTCCAGAATTCATTTGTGTCCCTTTTCATTTTGGTTTCTAGCTTTTCGCCCTACAGACCGAGAGCCGGGACCCGAAGGACGGGGACGAGATGGTCCTCCACAAGCTGCCGCTGTATGTCCAGAACATGGACCGGCTGGGGGACACTGAGCTGTGAGACACTGACACTCTGTCTTTACCGACTGCAACAGAGATGGTTCTGGTTCTGTTCGTTTTTAACATCCAAACTAAACTTATGATCAGAAGTTGAACAGCAGAACCAAAATGGCTGCCAAACCATAAACGACTATGACAGAACTGACTACATTGGAAGCACTTTCAGTGAAACAGAACCTTCTAGTTCTTCCTGCTGCTGTCTGACGTTTTAAAATAAACAGTTCAGATGATGAATTGTTCTTTCTTATTTGCGAAAACCGATCTGTCCATTTTCTTTACTCGTTTCTCCTTTCCGGGGCGCGGGGAGCTGGTGTCTAGACTCCAGCAGTCACCGAGTGAAGAGCGTGGGTTACATGGACACGTCCCCCAGTCCTTCACAGGGACACCTGGAGACGAACACCTACACCCAGGGTCAGTTTGGCGTTACCCGTGGACTTAATACAGGGTTTTGATCTGTGGAAGGAAACCCACAGGGAGAACATGTAAACTCCACCCAGAAAGGCTCCAGGTGGGAATCGAAGATGCAATCATCTGTTTCAGAGACAAAAGCTCTAGCCACTTCTCCACCAAGCCCCCAAACGCTTATCAGCTTTAATAAAAGATACTTAAAACTGGTGTAAAGTACAAGGAAACTGAGTACTATTACACAACAACTACTACCACCCCACAGGTTTGAACTCTAACCCTCCTGCTGTCCTTGGGTCAAGATGACGTCATTTTCAAATGTGTCGTTTTGACCCATGGGCAGCAGGAGGGTTAAATACTTCTGGTTGCTGAAGTATTTAATCCCTACTGGTATCATGTCCAAAGGATGAGAGACTGCGACAAAGTCAAGGTTCAACAATTCTGCTGGCTTCATTTGATGGAGAACTTTACTAATTAGCTTTTCTTTGCATGTGAATGTTTCTGTAAAGTGCCCTGAGACAACTTTGTTGTGAATTGGTGCTTTATAAATAAACTGAATTGAATTGAACATCTGCAGTTCCATCAATCTTTAAGTCAAACCAGACATCCTCAGGTGGTCTGGTCTCTCACTGGACTGCTTCAGAACCTTTAACCAGTTCTCCTTTATTTGTATATTTACAACATACAAACTTACAAAATCAGGAAAGGATCAAATATTTAAAATCCTTTCTGTCTCCTTTTAGTCCTTTTAAATAAAAAATAGCATAAAGGCAGTTAAAAGTAGTAAAATTCTAGCTTCAACCTAAAAGTAGCTAAAGGCTAACTACAGGTAATAGCTGATAATAGCATGTTTGTAACTAAAAGTAAAAAGTAGCAAAATGCTAGCTAAAAGTAGCATAAAAGTTTGTTAAAGCTAAAAAAGTCTTGCTAGTTTTAACAAAAAGCAGAAAGAAGCAAAATGCTAGCAGCAATCAGCAACCTAAAAAAATAACTAAAGGCTAACAGAAAGCTAATAATAGCCTATTTGTAGGTAAACGCCCAAAGTTGCAAATAGCTAGCATAAAAGTGGCTAAGAGAATTTTGCTAGTTTGAACTAAAAGCACAAAGTCGCTAAAAGTAGAAAAAGGTTAACTTACATCTAAAAATCCTAATGATAGAAACAGTTAAAAGTTGAATAATACTATCTGCAACCTAAATATAGTAAATGGCTAGCTAAGAGTACCGAAAGACTAGTTTAAAGCTAAAAACAGAATGATGATAGCTTTAAGCTAAAAGTAACCAAAAGCTAGCTGAAAACTTTAGCAAAATTGTAGGAAAAGCTAAAAGCTTGCACTCCAACCCCTCCCTCTCCTGTTCTCCTCCTGCTTTTTTTGCTCTCTATCAGTGTGTCGGAGCTCCTATTTACACATCTTCCAAAACGAAAACTACTGTTGTGGATCTGGTGAGCTGGACTTTCAACGCAATCGACAAAATCTTTTCACCAAAGCAACAGGTCCTGGAGAGCCTTCATGTCCTGCTGAGACTCATGCTGCAGGATACGTCATGGATCCGTGGGGAGTTTGGGAGCTGATGTGTCTTTCCGTTTGTCTCAGGAGGACGCCCAAGACGTTTTATATAATTAGATTAATGATAGCAGGATTTCTGCTTTCTGACATCGGTGGATTCTTATGTTATCGTCTATTAAGGAAGATGGTGAGCAGTTTCAGCAATGGCAAAACTGCAGTCTGTGTGAAGGTTTGGTTCGTGCTCCGAGGACTCAAAATCATCTGATTTACGAGCTAAACTGTAAGATGGAAGCAATTTGTGAGAATTGCAGGCTACATGCAGCTTCTGGGACTCACCAGCATGTTGAAAACGACCTTGGAGGAGTCTTGTAATCACGGACCAGTGGAATGCCCACTAATCTGACCATTTTGGATCTTGAAAGTACCAGCAGGACTCAAGGCTGACAAGAAAAAAACAGTCTGCCTGAAAAAAAAATCAACAATTATGGCTTATCTGAATATGACTCCCACGGTTGGCTTCGAAAACAGACAGACTTATCAAAGTTCAAAGGATATATGTAAACTAAGGAAAAACTTCGTCTATCGCACCCCACCCCACCCCCTCCCCCCCTCCTTAGAACTTCTGTGAAGGCTTATCAGAACTGTACTGGCTGACCATCTTATCAGGACTATGGACTATCTGGAAGTGCTTCATGGACAAATCTCACTGTCCAGCGTTTCTCCTAGATAACTTGCCATGGCAGGGCGCTCATCTCATCTGTGATTTTTGTCAGGGGTTGGTGGTGGGGGGGAGACACGGACGGAGACATGTCCTGAGCTGCGCAGCGCCCTGTTTATACCGACAGTTTTAGAGGAGGGAGGAGAGAGAGACAGAGACAGTCATGCGCTGTTTGCACCGACTGTTTTACAGTTTTGGAGCATGGCATAGAAGAGAGACAGACACATCTCAGCCGCACACTGTCTGTACCGACAGTTTGGGGGGGGTTTGGCGGGCAAGGGGGGGTTCAGTGTGAGGGTTCAGCATGAGGGAAGAGGCTGCCTTTATAGCTAGTGCACCAGCATTGCAAGCTGCTAGTTTAGCGTTACATCCGTGCCGACAGGTGGTTGGGGCGGGGGGGGGGGGGGGGTGTCGGTATACTGGTCGGTGCGCCCCGCTTGTATAATGGTAGGGGAAACACTGCTGTCTTGCTGTCAAATGTATATTTAATGTGTCTATAAATGTGCTTGCTGGCAGAGTTTTTTGATGTCTTAAATTGTGTCCTGATAGGACAAAGTGTCAAGAGATCTTTTTTTGTAATGCCACTATACTATCCTCATGGATTTTTCCCCTTTTCTTTCAAAAAAAAGTATTCTGAAAAAGGATAAGAGGCCGCGCTCCAGTAGCAGCAGCAACGTGCACTCCGCCCATCTTTCGCTCGACTACGAACATAATCTCACTGTATTTCGGTACAACGATTATAAAGCTTATTCTGATTCTGAAGGTAACATAACAGTAGCTAAAAGCTAAAAGTGGTATAAGAAACAGCCAGCAGCTGAAGCAGATTTCAGACAGATATTTGTGAAGGGATTGAAGTTGTCTCTGTGTCAATGTTTCCTCTACTGTTATACAAGCGGGGTGCCCCACTCCGTCAACAGAATTGAGCACCCCGCCTACCAAACTTGTCCCCCCACCTGCCCACCCGGCACTGACATAGCACTAAGCTAGCAGCGAGAAATACAGGTTCTCTAGCTAAAAAGCTAAAGGAAGCACTCATGTTGCCTCTTCCCTCATGCTAAACGCCCCCTGCCCCCACTCAAAAACTGCTAGTACAAGCTGCGCTCAGACAAGTGTCCGTCCCCCCATCAACAAAAATCATGGATGAGATGAGCACCCCACCATGGCAAGTTAACTAGGGGAAACACTGTGTGTGTTTTCATTTGAGAAATATTTGTAAATTACGTTAAATATTTCTAAAAGTATAAAAGTTTCAGGAACTAAAATCCATAGCTTCCATCTCCTCAATCAGTCAAATTTTTAGTTAGAAGCTAAAAGTATCAAAGTACGTTGTGAACGATGAACCGACCTCGGTTGGGCCAAGTTTTTAAAATTGTTTTTATTTAAGCAGTTTTTGTCTGCCTCAGTGACCTGGTTTCGAGTCAGCGGGCCGTCAGCGCCACCACAACTCCAACCAGAAACTTCTTTTCCACCTTCCTGCCGCAGGGGAAACGCACACCGGTGAAGCATGCCACAGCGGGGTCCTCCCCGAGCCAGGCAGCCGTGGGCAGGAAGGACACGTCAGCCAATCAGGTGAGACCAGGAAGCTGTTTGGTTAAAATGTAAAAAGATCTGAACATCTCAACTTTTGTCTTTTTTAGCCTTTAAAGTCTAAAGAAATGAAGGAGGTGAAGTTGGCTGTCCAGTTATCGACCGGCGACTCCCAGAACCAGAACAGCAGACACAAGAGGATCCAAGAACACGAGAAGGAGAGGAAGGAGCTTTTCTTCAAACCTCCCCCTCAGGTACGACTAGGACAGCTCACCTGTGTGACACAAAATATTAGGGACGCACTGATCCACTTTTTTTCCTTTCGATCCGATCCCGATCCCTAAATCTGAGTATCGGCCGATACCGATCCAGTTCCAATATCATGATCATCATTGATTTTATATGTAATAATCTCCTCTCAAGTACAATTTGTACAAATATATGCATGCATGTCCAAAAAGGCAACTTGAGTTAAGTTTTATTAATGTTGGATAAGTTTTAAAGTTAGAATTAAATTCTGCTAACACAAAACATGTTTTTTTTAATCCTAGCTTTAAAGTGGATATTAAAGTGATTAATTTAAGTGATTGTTTAAAGTTATTTTATATTTTATAAGGGGCAGATATAAGAATTTTTTCTTCTTGCTGCACTCTTTTTATTCAATGTTTTCTTTTTGATGATTTAAAAAAAAATTTGTTTCATTTAAATGAATGAATTAAATTAAACAAAATGTTAAATGGTTTCAAACATCTGCTAAGTTCATGGCATAAACCAACAGACATGTTCCTGTTTTTAGTATTTTACATCACTTTATAATGTAGCTGTTCATGTTTTTAATATAATTTTCAAATCATATGTTTTTTATGATTGTCTACTGTTGCACTGATAAATATCTCCTGGAGGGTAAACTATATCTTGGCTGCAAGTATCAAACTGTGAAATCCTTCATTTTCTACAACTGATAGTGGTTGGTCATTAATGATGAAGTTTATCAACTTCTCTGTAAACATTAGAGTTCCGTGGTTTCAGCGACGTCTTCTTCTTGTTCAATCCGAAGCAGGCAGTCTGATCTGGGTCAGCTGCTCTCAGTCTGTCCCTCCTCAGAGACGGGCAGACTGAGCGGGGCAGGTTGGACCCTGCTGGCTGAGGTCGAGTCGCTTGTTTTGGGTTGAGCAAATAGCAGCGCTGCGCTGAAGCCACGGAGCTCGAATGTCCATCGTAAAACTAACTTTACCGCGGTTTAATGTGGCGCTATGGCTCTGCAGACATTGCACGTTGCTGTCTTGTTTTGTGGTGTTTAGTGTAAAATATTTCCACACAGCGACATGTTTAGATGAAAAGTTTGTTAGCTGTTAGCTACAGTGCTGCTAACTCAGTCCTCACGTTGTAGCTGCTGCAAACTGTGAACTGGATTTCCTGAATGTGAGGCGGGTCTTGTTACTCTAGGTTCATGAGACACGCCGCCGTTCAGGAAATCCATTCCATAGTTTGAAGCCAGCATACATCATGGATCAGAAATATCGGCAAGTGGATCGGAAAATCAGATGCATAAATGTTGCTGGTATCGGAGGCCAATACCGATACTGGATCGGATCGGCCCCATCCCTACAACATATCAGGGATTCAAGGGTTGATTGGAGGCAAGAAGCTTAGTTTTAGGTCACGTTCCTGGTTAGGGGTTTCTTAAAATATTCATGAGCAAATTGTGTCTTTGTGATGTACTGTTGACATCAGAGTGCCTAAGTGAGTGCCAGAGTGACTTAAGTTCGACCCGCTGATGAGTTCATGAATGGAAAAAAATAAAAAAATCAGAAAAATCAGTGAAAGAGAAGTACGCTTTGAGAAGAACCCCCTCCACTCTGAAAACAATGACTTAAGCCAGGTCAGGCCTCAACCTAGGACTTCTTTCTTCACTGCTTGATCACTCAGTACTTTTCCCCTTTATACGTACTGGGGACAACCTCTGACTCGTGTCTGTTTAAAACCAATAACTGAGATTTCAACATGAGTGCCAAAGCAAACCTAAACAGGACGTTAACAAGAACAACCCAATTCCACACTCAGAAATATCAAAAACATTCAGAAACATTGTAAACAGTCTGGAACATCATAAACAGAATTATCGTAAACAGTCAGAAATGTAAACATTCGGTAAGATGGCGCTCTTGTACTTGGCTTGCAATCCACCTCTGCTGATGGTGTTCGGATTATTTCTGTTTTGTTCGTTTTTTATCTGTGGCATGAATTCACTCCTCATGTATGACCGACAACAGCTTCTGGATCTTCGTTTTTCTGTCACTGATGTCGCTTATTTAGACCATTATCAGCGTACCTCTGGACCCCCCCTCCTCCCCCCCGCTGGCGGACGTGCCAGCTTACCTTCGCTGCGCTCCTCACCTGCCTGCCCGGAGATCTCGCTTCAGACGCCGGGGAAAACGTGCTGGTCAGCTGGTGAAGATTAAAGCTCTGCGCATTGCATCTTCCTCTTCAGTCGGTGGTCATGGTCTCCATCGCCAGCTTCCCGTGTGCCCGGACCAAGTAACCAACGGGAGTTGTCAGCCGGTGCACCGCTCGGGCCGACCTGGAGGGGCTGTTATTGAAAATCTGCGGCCATTAGCGCGCGCTAACTCCACCACTGCTAGCTCCACTTTGGACAGTATCCGGATGTGTTTGGTCAACGCAAGATCTGTTGCCAACAAAACTTTTATCCTCAGGGATTACTTTCAACAGCATGATCTGGACTTTCTGTGCATCACAGAGACTTGGATGTCTCCGGGTGAGTCCAGCGCCTTGATGGAATTATTGCCACCGAACTGTTTGTATTTTAACGCACCGCGGCCATCAGGCCGACGCGGTGGTGGATTATTAACAATATTCAAATCAACTTTTGACTATAAACAACTGCCTATCCCAGTTTCCCGCGCCAGCTTTGAGCTGAGCGTCTTTGAACTCGGACATTCACCTGCGATGTTATTTGCACTCGTCTACCGCCCACCTCGATCTAAGGATTTCTTAAATGAGTTTTCTGACGTCTTGACTGAAATCACACCAAAATATGAGCATGTTTTCATTATTGGGGACTTTAATTTGCACATGTGCTGTCCTGAGAAGCCCTTGGTTAAGGACTTTTTAGATCTATTGGACTCATTTAATTTAACTCAGCATGTAAACGGTCCCACCCAAGAGTGTGGACCTTGTTTTAACTCTTGATATGACTGCTAATAATCTTGTTATTGGTGATGATGTTTTTTCAGACCACATGCCAGTCCAGTTTGAGTTCACCCTCCCCCATCTAACTCCTAAGTCGTGCATTAGTGCACGTAGGACCCGGACCATTAACCACTTCACTGCCACACGTTTCACAGATGTTTATAACTCTGAAATGATCATTCAGCCCCCAGTGTTTCTCTCCACCACTGAGGAGCTGACATCCCAGTTCAACTCTGTCTGCTTAAAGACTCTGGATCATGTTGCATCTGTTAAAACCAAAAAATCAAAACTGAGAGCAGAACCTTGGCTGAGTGATGTCACCAAGTCCACTAGGCAGCAATGTAGAAGGGCGGAGCGAAAGTGGAGGAAAGACAGGCTGCAGGTCTCTTTTCAAATACTTAAAGAGAGTTGGCGCCGTTATCAGAAAACAGTAAAAGCTGCTAAATCCAAATACTTCTCTGATATAATTACCTCAAACTCTCACAACCCACGTGTCCTCTTCTCCACCCTAAACTCTGTTCTCCACCTCACTGAACCATCACCTCTGGAAGCCTCAACTGAGCTGTGCGACAACTTCTTACATTTCGTTTTGGAAAAAATTGCGACCACCAGGGCTCTCATTTCCCCTCCAACTCATGACCCATCCATCCCACCTCAACCTGTAGCTCTATTTGACCATTTTGAACCCATCACTCTATCTTCTCTAGAGCAGGTCATGTGCAGCTTGAAACCTTCTGGCTCCCCCTTTGATGTGGTCCCCCCTCGACTACTAAAGGAGGTGTTTCCAACACTAGGTCCGTCCATTCTTGCCATAGTAAACAGTAGTTTATCCACTGGCGTGGTGCCAAAATCCTTTAAACATGCTGCTGTCCAGCCTCTCCTGAAAAAAACAAACCTTGACCCCTCAGTCGTGTCCAACTTCCAGCCTGTCTCCAAACTCCCATTTGTTTCTAAACTACTGGAGAAAATAGTCGAGTCCCAGTTGAAGTGCTTCCTGGAGGATCACGCCATCTTAGAGCTTTTCCAATCTGGCTTTAAACCTTTCCACAGCACTGAAACTGCCCTGCTGAAGGTCTTTAACGACATCTTCAGATCCACAGATACTGGTGATTCTGTTCTGCTTGTCCTGTTGGACCTCACAGACGCCTTTGACACAATCGACCATGAGATCCTCATTGCTAGGTTGGAGCAGTGGGTGGGCATCACAGGGTCAGCCCTCATTTGGTTCAGATCTTACCTCACTGACAGATCCTTTTGTGTCTCCATCAAGGATTTTAGTTCCGCAGAGGCAGAGCTTAAATGGGGGGTTCTGCAGGAGTCCATCCTGGGTCCCCTCATATTCTCTTTATACCTGCTGCCGCTTGGTGCTATTTTCCGGAAACACAACATGCCCTTCCACTTCTATGCCGATGACTGTCAAATTTACTTCCCCCTAAGACACAATGGCACATGCTCTATTCAACCGCTGCTCAACTGCCTGGCTGACATCAGGGACTGGATGGCTTTAAACTTTTTAAGTTTCAATGAAAAGAAGTCTGAAGTCATGTTGTTCCCTCCCAACGACACGATCACAAACCACTGCATCGACTTCTCCGCTCTAACCCTGTCAGAAAAACAAAGAGTCACTAATCTGGGAGTGATAATGGACCCTTCCCTGAAACTTAACAATCATGTTAACATGATTGTTAAATCATGCTTCTTCCAACTGAGGCGGCTGTCTAAACTGAAGCCCATACTGTCCAAAAATAACCTGGAGACAGTAATACATGCATTCATTACATCTAGGCTTGATTACTGCAATTCACTCCTGTTTGGTATCAGTCAGACCTCCATTGCACGACTACAACTGGCCCAGAATGCAGCAGCCCCATTTTTAACCAGTACAGGCAAAAGAGAGCACATTACACCAGTTTTGGCCTCACTGCACTGGTTACCGGTTCAC